CTGCTACCTCTTTACAAAACAAGAGTTTCTTCCTAATCAATGCCTTGATTAACATATCAAAATCATTATTATTAATGTGAAATTTTTCAAGTATTAACAACTTGGAATCCAATATTTCTTGAATCCAATGATATCTCATATCAATCTACTTGGATGGAGAGCGAAATGTAGAATTCTTATATAAATGAATGGTACTCGAACTATTACAATAAAGACTTTACTTCCCTTGCTTCATACCCAACTTTTAAAGGAATTTCTTCAACCAAAGAATCTCTTTGCATGTTTCAATGGTTGTGATATACTCTACCTCCATATTGAAAAGGGCGATATAATTTTCTAATTTATTTTGCCATGACACTATTTCCTTGCCAAAGTCATCAAGTATTTAGATGTATGACAGGTGGCAAGTCTGTACAATAATAAAATCCTACTCACAAGAATATTTATTTGAATATAATGGTAAGTAAGGTCGTCTCCACAGGGATTAGGGGGAAAATTTGTTTCTTCTCAAGTGAAAATTAATTGGGGGAGTTTGGAAGATCGAAATTAAAAATAAATAACTAAGCGAATTAAAAATAATTAAACTAAATAAAGTAAATTCAAATCATGGATAAACAAACTTTAGCCAAGGAAATAACTCCGAAAGTGGTTCATACAACTGTTTATCGATACAAGAATTGTTTCATTTATTCATTAATAAACAGGTTATAGTTGCCAAATAAGCGATGACAACTAACTTTTCCTTACCGTCATGATAGTTAAGGTACGCTCGCTAACTACTTCCCTATCTAAGAAATAACCCTAGGTAAACCTGTAGAATTTAATTTCTTGAATGCATTAGAAATTAGAAAAGTCCTGTTCTAATTAATAAACATGCTATCAGGGTTTATTTAAATTAGATCATACATCTCTCTAACATGAAACCAATCACATTAATCGCCACTAATTTAAGATAATTAAACAATTACGGATCTAACTATCCTAATTGTTGAATTAACTATCAGGTGTCTTTGATAGTCAAACAACTAACAACCATGAGAAGTTAAACAAAAAAACATACGAATACTAACGAATAAAAGAAATTAATAAAAATAATTAGATCTCACAGATGTAATTGAATCAAATCCTTGTTATTTCTCGACTAGAAAAGTAAATTAGCCGCACATCACTAAGGAGGAACCGCACAAATTCATCGAAGAGATTTGCATTAATGCCTAACAATGAAGAAAGCAAAAAGAACGAAAAGAACTAAGAAGCTGTTGTCTTTCTTTTTTCAACGCCAAGAGTCCCCGATTCTTCCAAATTGTTTTTGCCCAAGTACTAGTCAAACGGGCCGTCCTATTTTCTCCTATTTGCCTCTTTGTTTCCTATTTTATATCAACTAGTAACACTAAAACATGTTTCCTAAATAGAAAAAGAAACTACAAAAGATAATATTCCAAATTTCCTAAGCCAATACTAAAACTAATAACAATAATTAGAGTCTTCCAAATCTTCTGCTAACGGCTGTCCTTCGTTCGACTTGGACTTAGAACAGACCCCAAACGTGTCACCATCAAATCAATTCTTAACATGCTGGAAAATTTCTCCTTTTGATCAAGTTTTGCATATTTTCTTACAATTAGCACCATTAACCAAATATAAGTAGAATCCGACAATTAAAACAATATTTGACTAGAATAAAAGGAAAAATAATCATAAATTGAATAACAATTATGCACCCTATCAATTTCCCCCACACCTAAACCATACTTGTCCTCAAGTATCAGAACAAGAATTTAGCAATTGAACCCAAGCAATGGTTATCACTCCAATTATCTAATGCCGAAATACCTTTAAAGTCCACATCAAGCATCAACGGCTAAATTTTAAGAAATATCGCTCCGGTTAGCTTCCAAAACTAAGGACTCCTCTAATTCCTGACTAACTAATCTTAGAAGGTAGAATATTCGATCAGTATTTATCAGCGAACGATTCAACTATTAACCAAAATCTTAACATTAAAACTCATGAATCAGCAGGCTAACACAATCATTCATATATTTGCACACTTTACACTTTTTCACAACTTTTTTTTCTCTTTTTTTCCTTTTTTCCTTTTTTTTGGAGAAACAAGGTCTAGTCCTTAACCATTCAGGTCTTTTGACGCAAATTCCGACATCTACCAAATGAAGGAATCCAGTTACTTAACTTTTCATCACTTAAAGACCACACACTCATAGTTATCGCTAGTTTTTTGATGCAAAAGTCGACACTTTAAGTGAAAACCACTGGTTACTAGGTAGCGATAACCAGCGGAGTGTAGCCAAATACTATTCACAATTTAGCAACAAAATAACACTAAAGATCACACAAGCCCACTTCATTTCCTCAAACATGGAAAACTAAGATTAACAATTGAACCAATTCATATGAAAAATGTTAGAAAAATATTCACAATGCCTAGAAAAGCTAACCAAGAGTTGCAAAAGTCATAAAATCTCAAATATTCACCAAAGAGACATTCTCAGACTTAACCATGTCACACTTGATACATTCTTATAAATAAAATTTGACAATAGAAAAATTAGAGTCAACTAACCATTGTCGATCCCAAATATCCATAAAATGCTTAAAATGACAAAAAGAGAATGGAAACACTAAAAATGAACAGTACCAGCTATACTACAACTCCCCCTCCCCCCCGCCACACCTAAATCTGACATTGTCCCCAATAAAAGAAATATAGAAAAGAAAAGGAAGGGGACAACGAAACTTTCCTGAAGAAAGGGGAGGAGGACTCCGGACAGCTATGGGATAGGCAGCGTAAAACCCACACGGTGGAACTAAGTCACAAAATTCTAGGACATCTAGGATATGTGAACTGCAAGATTGGACACCCGCTCATCCAGATGGTGAACTTGAGCATGGAGGTGCCACCACTCAACATCCTAAGACGACTTTGGAGGAGGCGTGGAGGTAGATGGTCCAGGCTCATCATCGGCTACTCTCGAAATAGATGAGGTACTAGTGTGCATGAAAGGACGGTGAACGGGTACACGAGTGGGTCCCGAAGGAGTAAACTGCCATATGTTATCAACTTGCTCTACGATACCTATTTTTTCTAAGCAAACCACATCCAAAGAATCCATTTGACAAACTACATATAAATCATGATCAGAAAGATAAAAAATATCTAAGTGAACTGCCAAATGTGTGATATACGAGTCAAGGATCAAAGGTTTGTTTTTTAGCCAAAACCATTTCAAATTGAGACGCCAACCAATACCCCAAATTAATTTTGATATTGTTTTGCATACACCAAATGAAGAAAAACTCAGGTTTGACAAAGATCTCTAATCTATCCTCCCTACTCGAATAATTATAAGCCAAGAAACGCTGAACATAATGGGAACTCAGGTCTATGAGATAAGAAATTTTGAACTGGCTAAGGTCAAAACGATCACCATCAACAAACACATCCTTCCATATTTCAGTGTGAAAGAGTTCTACATAGTCACATGCACTCTCATCATACTCCCTAGAATTGACATACTCGCTATCGATGAACCCAAAAGCCAAATTAAACTAGGTAATTAAAAAGTTAAACTACTGGCCCATAAGTCTAAATCGAATCACATTTGGAGTGGTGATAGACTATCCCGTGGGTAGATTAAACTCGAAAGTGGCGTAAAACTCTCTAACTAACTCCACAAAAGTAGGACATTGAATTGCAGCATAAGAGCGCTGCCCTATAGATGTGAGCATTCTTTCAAAATCATCCCTGATGCCCAAAGCAACCATGGTAAGAAGGTCAAGATATTTGCAAAGAATAATCCGCCGTTCACAACAAGTAGAATATCTTTGCGTGTCAGCGATTTTGATGAAATTCAAATGACCTCCAAAGTGAGAGGGTGAGGAAAGATGGACACCTTTGTCCCGACCTAAACGGGCCCTTTTACTTGAAAAAGAAGGATGGTAGGAAGGGTCAATCGAGGGAATAGTTGGTTGGGGCGAAGGATTGGTTTTAGTCTTCGTATTTTTGGACTTAGAGGTAGCCTTTTTCTTAGCCATCTAGACAATAAAAGAAAAGAAAAACAGCCACAAACAATGAAGTGCAAGCAAAGTCCACCAACACAAGTTCTCGAAGACAGCCAAGCAATCTTTAAAACAAGAAAGAGCGAGATAAATGAAAAACTTGACCGTAGAGACTTATATACCCAGAATAGGAACCTTAATGCAACGTGCAATCTCAGAATGAATTAGCCAACAAAGATAATTATTCAATCGAAATACCAAGCATAGCCAGCAATCGCAAAGTGATACTTCTAATAGCAAAACTAGAAAATTAGGAACAAGACCTAATACTAATATTAATAATCATCAATGTGGAAGTAAGGGGCATCAACGTTCACCATAGTGTAGAACTAGGTAGCAGCAATCGACAATTTAAAGAATAGCCAATGCCAAAAACAAAAACCAACAAATTAAAACAATCCAGCAAGGAGAGATGCTAATAAACTCTGAAGTATAAACCCAATAGAAAAAGAGAGGAACAAGTATACCAGATGTTTGGGCGGCAAAAACGATGGCAAACAGAGCAACAGGGAAACGAGGAGGAACGAGTAGCGATGGCGGCTATTATACGCGGCGACAAAAGGTGATGACGACAGCGACAGGCACCACAGTGGCAAGCAAGGAAGTGATGAACGGCGGGACGCAACAGGCACGATCTGCGATGAGCATGTGGCAGCAGCGACGTCGATGGCACGATCTAGGTGGTGTTCAGACGCGCGCGACTGGAAAAGAAAGAGAAGAGGGGAGAAAGAAAGAAGGAAGAAAGAGAAAAAGAAAGGAAGGAAAAAAAAAGAAAAGAGAAAGAAAGAGCGAAAGAAAGAAGGAAGGAAAGAGAAAGAAATAGAAAAGGAAAAACAAAAAAAAAACAAAAATGCTTAATAAGTGGTTGCCTCCTAATAAGCACCTTTCTTTAGTGTCTTTGACTTGACATGGCTGAACTCTACTCAAGGAGCATAAATTGGATCTTCAAGATTTATTAGTTCCACTTTTTCCATTGAAAAACCTTCGTAGTAGGGCTTGAAACGATGGCCATTAACGATAAACTGTTTATCTGTTTTCATGCTCTGGATTTCCATTGCACCAAAGTGAAAAACATTTGTCACCACAAATGGATCAATCCAACGAGAACGCAACTTACCTCGAAAGAGCTTCAAATGGGATTGATAAAGAAGAACTTTTTGCCCAATTATAAATGATTTTCTTGCCACTTGTTGGTCATGAAAAATTCTAGTCTTCTCCTTATAAATTGTTGAATTCTCGTAGGTCTCATTTCTCAATTTCTCCAATTCTTGCAACTGAAATTTTCTGTGCACTTCGGTTTCATCAAGATCCATATTACACTTCTTGACCATCCAATATGCTTTGTGCTCAAGTTTAACTAGAAGATGACATGAGTTCCCAAATATCAACCTATAAGGAGACATTCCTATAGGAGTCTTGTAGGCGGTCCTATAAACTCATAATGCATTCTCTAGTCGTGAACTCCAATATTTCCTATTAGGACGAACCACTTTCTCCAAAATTGATTTAATTTCTCTATTTAAAATCTCCATTTGGCTATTTGTTTGAGGGTGATATGATGTAGATCATTCCATATTTTCAAAATAGAGCCACCATTAGTTTATTACAGAAGTGTTTTCCTCCATCACTGGCCATAACTCGTGCTACCCCAAAACGAACAAAAATACGTGATCGAATGAAATTTGCAACCACTTTAGAATCATTAGTTCGAGTGGCTTTTGCTCCACCTATTTCGACACATAATCTACGACCAACAAGATATAGAGGAGACCAACAAGATATAAAGGAGACCAAAAGATGGAGGGAATGAACCCATGAAATCAATGCCCCAAACATAAAAAATTTTACAAAAAAATTATAGGGGTTTGTGGCATTTGATTTCTACGAAAAATATTTCCTACCCTTTGGCTTCGGTCACATGACCTACAAAATGAGTGTGCATTTTTTAAAATGGTGGACCAATAAAAATCACTTTTCAATATTTTACAAGCTGTTCTTTGCGCCCCAAAATGGCCTCTGCATGTATAAAAGTGACAAAATGTTAGAATTGAATTAAATTCACTCTCACTTACACATTTTTGCACTATTTGGTCTGCACGTTGCCTCCATAAGTAAGGGTTGTCCCATAAGTAATATTTGGCATCACTTTTAAACTTATCTCGTTTTGTCTTTAACCAATCTGTAGGCAATTGATCAGTGACCAAATAGTTAACAATATCAACATACCAAGGAAGAGAAGAATTAGCAGAAAATAGTTGCTCATCAGGAAAAGTTTTCTTAATATAAAATCGTCCTTAGCAATAGGCAAATTGAACTCCTGTACAAGCAAAATCTACCTGATCAACCTTTATTTAGCATCCTTTTTGGTTATCAGGTATTGTAGCATTGCATGGTCAGAATACACAATCACCTTAACTTCTAACAAATAAGAAAAGAATTTTTCTAAAGCAAAAATAACTACTAAAGCTCATTTTTTGTGATCATATAATTTAGTTGAACACTATTCAAAACCTTAGACATATAGATCGCATGTACAGTCTTTCCGGTCCTTTGACCCAGTACTGCTTCTACTGCACTGTCACTTGCATCACACATGATCTCGAATGAGTAATTCCAGTCCGAAGGTTGTATGATAGATGGGAAAGTCAACAACTCCTTCAAGCAATTGAACGCCTTCTTGCATTTCTCATCAAAATTGAATGTTATGTCTTTTTGCAAGAGTCTAAATAATGGCGCTCCAATTCTTGAGAAATCCTTGATGAATCTACGATAAAAACCTGCATGTCCCAAAAAGGAGCACACTTCTCGCATACTAGTAGGGTATGGTAAGGAAGATTTGAGATCTATTTTTACCTTATTGATTTCAATACCCTTAGATGATATTACTTGGTGTAGAACCATCCCATACTCAACCATAAAATAATATTTTTTCAATTTAGCACGAGATTAGTTTTGATGCATTTTTGAAGAATTCAAATCAAATTCTTAAGACATTCATCAAAACTATCACCATAGACATTAAAGTTATCCATAAAAACTTCTATTATTTTCTCAATATATTCAGAGAAAATACTTATCATACACCTTTGAATAGTCGCAGGAGCATTATACAACCCAAAGGACATTCTTCTTTATGCGAAAGTACCGAATGGACATGTGAAAGTGATTTTCACCCGGTCCTCTGGCATTATTGTAATATGAAAATACTCTAAAAAATTATCCAAAAAATAGTAGTAAGCACAACAAGCTAATCTGTCAACCATTTGATCAATGAAAAGAAGAGGATAATGGTCCTATTTAGTGATTGCATTTAGTTTCCGATAATCGATGCACTGGCGTCATCTCATTGGTTTGTGAACAGGAACAAGCTCCCCATTGTGATTAGTTTCAACTGTGACTCCTACTTTATTTGGAACTATTTGCACTAGACTCACCCATGAGTTATCATAGATGGCATAAATTATCCTCAGATCTAGCAACTTGAGTATTTTCTTTTTTACCATTTCTATCATTAGGGAATTTAGTCTTCTCTGTGCTTGTCTCATAGATTTTGCACCATCTTCAAACCTTATTCTATGCATGCACAAAGAGGGACTTATGCCTTTAATGTCAGTTATTGTCCATCTCATCGCCTCTTTGTGGTCTCTAAGGATTCAAATCAACTAGTTCTCTTGACTAGGGTCCAATTTAGCAGAAATAATGACTGGGAGAGTATTTTATCGACCAAGAATACGTACTTAAAATGACCCGGTACGGGTTTTAATTCCACTTCAAATACCTGCACCACCAAAGGCAACAACAACTTTGGATGAGAATCAGGTATAAAGAGTGGTGCAAATTCATACCTTATTGTAATAGGTGCCATTAACTGTAGTGCTCCAACTATGCATATTAACTACTCATTCAATTTTACATCACAGGTTGTCCCCAATTCAAGATGTTTGGTGAGGACAACTTCTAGTTCATCCCTACAATCAATCTCAAAAATTTTCTGTACCATAGAGTCAATCACATTCATTGCAAAAATAGTATGAGAGTCTAATGGGTAGTTTATAACTTCAAATATATTGAAATGGACCACCTCCCCATCAAATTTCATTGTGAGTGTACCCTATTTAACATCTATTTTTGTTTCGGTTGTACTCAAAAAAAGTCTTCCTAATATATTAGGTGATGGATTTAGTGAACACTCATCATTCATATCAAGCACATAAAATTCAGTTGGAAATACTAATTCATTAATTTGGATCAAAACATCTTCAACTAACCCATCAGGGTATGCATTAGTCCCATCGGCTAGCTGAAATATAATGCCTGTTTCTTTCAAGGGTCCTGGATTTAAAGAGGCATAAATACTTTTCAGTATCACATTCATGCAAGCTCCTAGATCTAGCATAACCTTTCTAATCTTAGTTTTTCCAATACGACAAGGGATAGAAAACATACCTGAGTCTCCACACTTGGGTGAAAGTTTTTTTTGTAACACGGTTGAAACATTCCCCCCCCCCCCCACAATTCTTTTATTACCTCTCAATTTCTTTTGGTTGACGCATAAATTCTTCAGAAATTTGGCATACCTGGACACTTGTTTGATTGCATCCAACAGAGAGATGTTTATCTCCATTTTTTTTAACACTTCTAAGATCTCATTCTCCTTTTCATGCCTTTTTGGTTTCTCCAACCTACAGGGGAAAGGTGGTGGTTTAGTATTAGTTTTAAATGAAGGGTTCAAAATTACCTCAAGAGTGAGTTTGCTTATTTCTTCTTTTTCCAAATCCTTCTCCATTTGATCTTCACTCTTGTCCTTGGGAACTATAGGTTTTGGCCCTTCAACTTCCTTTCCACTTCTGAGGGTTATGACACTTACGTTCTTTGGATTCACCTCAGGTTGAGAAGGTAATTTTTTTTGCCCTTGAAACTCCGGGCGGTTCACCTTAGAGGCTATCTAACTTATTTGGTTTTGCAGATCTTGTATACTTGCCTCTATCTTTGGTTGGAATTTCACGGTGTTAGCGGCCAATGTCTTGACAAGATCCTCGAGAGATGCTTCTGGAGTAGACGAAGAGGGTTAAGGTCTTGATAGATGCAGTGGTTGGAACCCTTGCTGTCTATTAGTGGCTGAATTTTGCTTATTTCCCCCATAACTAAAGTTTGGGTGGTCTCTCCAACCTGGATTATACGTATTGGAATAAGGATCATACTGTCTACGGGGCTTGGGCGTGTATCCAGTTATGTTCACTTATTCTATGCTATCATCTTGCAGCATTGGGAATCTATCGATGATGTGCTTAACATCCTTGCAAATTTCACGTCTTGACTTGTTGCACATTCCCCATTACTATTTGGCGAACCGTAGAAGTTAATTCAGCCAATTGCTCTTGCATCGATGAAATACTCACCTCGTTCACGCAATGACTTGGAATGTCCTCTCGTGTGCCAAACTGCTAGGAGTTTTGAGCCATCCCTTCGATTAATTCTCAAGTTTTTTGAGGGTTTTTGTTCACTAACGCACCTTCACTTGCAGCGTCAATGATACTCCTATCTCTGTAGAGCAGGCCTTCATAGAAGTACTGAATGAGAAGCTGTTCACTAATCTGATGTTGGGGACAAATATTATACAACTTTTTGAATCTCTTCCAGTATTCATAAAGAGACTCCTCATAACTCTATTTAATGCCACAGATCTCTTTTCGTAAACTGGCAGCTCGGGATACAGGGAAATATTTTTTCAAGAATTTTCTTTTCATATCCGTCCATGTTGTGATACTTCCTGCTAGCAAGTAGTATAGCCAGTTCTTGGCAGCTCCCTCAATGAAAAAGGGAATGCCCTCATCTTGATTTACTCCTAAGTGACACCAGGTGGTTTCATACTTGTACATACCACTGTGAACTCCTGTAGGTGCTTGTGAGGTTCTTTACCTGACAAACCATGAAAATTAGGGAGGAGGTGTATTAGCCCTGATTTCAATTCAAACGCTACATTTTCAACAAAGTCAGAAAAGTAATGCATAAAGGCTGCTGGTTTAAATCCGAAGCAGCCAACTCCTTTTAGGTTTGATTGTCATTTGCGATAATAGCTTTCTCTTACTCAAAATCACTTGAATAATCACTTGAAAAATCCAATAAGTTCACAACCAAATTAAGCTCTGGAGACACAGTAGATGACCACTCTTTCTTCCGTATTCTAGTTTCTCTTTGTAGCCTACGTGCAGTCTTCTCAACTTAGAGATTGAAGATTAATTCACCTGTATGAGAATACCGAGACATAAACTAGCAAAAATACCAAAAAATAAAATAAACTAAAAAAAGAAACAAATATTCTAACGCCAATTCCCGGCAATGGCGTAAAAAATTTACAGGTGTTGGGTCTATGTAATAACAAAATCCTACTTACAAGATATTTATTCGAGTATAATAATAAGTAGGGTCATCCCCACAGAGATTAGGGGAAAAATTTGTTTCTTCTCAAGTAAAAATTAATTGGGGGAATTTGGAAGATCGAAATTAAAAATAAATAACTTAGCTAACTAAAAATAATTAAACTAAACAAAGTGTATTCAAATCAAGGATAAACAAGATCTAGCCAAGGAAATATCTCTGAAAGTGGTTCATAAAATTGTTCATCGATGGAAGAATTGTTTCATTTATTCGTTAATAAACAGATTATAGTTGCCAACCAAGTGATGACAACCAACTTTTCCTTACTGTCTCAATAGTTAAGATATGTCTGTTAACTATTTTTCTAATTAAGAAATATCCCTAGGTAAACCCGTAAAATTTAATTTCTTGATTGCATTAGATACTAGAAAAATCCTGTTCTAATCAATAAACACGTTATGAAGGTTTATTTAAATTAGATCATATGTCTTCTTAACATGAAATCAATCACATTAATCGCCACTAATTTAAGACAATTAAACAATTACGAATCTAACTATCCTAATTGGCAGTAGTTTGCTAAGTTGAATTAACTATCAGGCGCTTTTGATATTCAAACAACTAACAACCATAAGAAGTTAAACTAGAAAACATACAAATATAAGGGATAATTTCAGAAACCTCTCCTGAGGTTTCTGACATTTACACTTACCTCCCCTGTGGTTTGAACAATTACACTGACCTCCCCTGAGGTTACTAATCCTTTACAAATTCAGTCCAAATGATTAAAATATTATTTTAGAGAGTGAAATTAGAATTTTGTACCTGATTTGTCCTTTGTGCCACATGTCCAATGAATGGCAAAGTATTACAAATTAATTAACAATTAATAAACTTTAACGAGCGTAGTTTATAGGCAAATACGTATTGTCTATTTAAAGTACCAGCTCTTTACATGAATTTTATTTTCAAACATTTACTTTATCACAAATATTTATTCTCAAATACAGATTTGTATTTACTCTCAAATGTTTAATTTTTGTTAAATACAAAACCTACCAGTTTTTCTTCCGTAGAAATATTAATATAACATTTTTTCAATTTCAGTTACAAATATTTATGTATTTAACATAAATTAAATGATTCAGAATAAAATACTCATAAAGAGCTAATACTTTACTCATGTAATGGATGAAAGCCATAAAAAATTAACATTTTATAGGCCATTTCTTTTTTTTTAATTTTAATTTATATTAAATAGATAACCTATCGATTTTCTTTTTACAAGAATATTATTGTAACACCTTTTAATTTTTAATTACAAATATTGATATATTTATTGTAAATTAAATATTTAAAAATAAAATACCTGTAAAGAGCCGGTACTTTAAATAAGTTATGCGTATTTGCCTATAAACTATACTCCTTACTTAAATCAATAAACTACACTCCTTAACTTAAATCAATAAACTATACTCCTTACTTTAAATAGTGTAGTTTATAGGCAAATACGTATATCCTATTTAAAGTATCGGCTCTTTACAAATATTTTATTTTCAAATATTTAATTTATGATAAATATATTAACATTTGTAATTAAAAATTAAAAAGTGTTAAAGTAATATTCTTGCAAAAAAAATCAGTAGGTTATCTATTTAATATAAATTAAATATTTTTTAAAAAATAAATGGCCTCATAAACTATTAATTTTTTATGACTTTCATCCATTACATGAGTAAAGTATTGGCTCTTTATAGATATTTTATCCTGAATCATTTAATTTATGTTAAATACATAAATATTTATAACTAAAATTGAAAAAGTGTTATATTAATATTTCTATGGAAGAAAAACTGGTAGGTTTTGTGTTTAACAAAAATTAAATATTTAAGAGTAAATACAAATCTGTATTTGAGAATAAATATTTGTGATAAAGTAAATGTTTGAAAGTAAAATACATGTAAAGAGCTGGTACTTTAAATAGGCAATACGTATTTGCCTATAAACTACGCTCGTTAAAGTTTATTAATTGTTAATTAATTTGTAATACTTTGCCATTCATTGGACATGTGGCACAAAGGACAAATTAGGTACAAAATTCTAATTTCACTCTCTAAAATAATATTTTAATCATTTGGACTGAATTTGTAAAAGATTAGTAACCTCAGGGGAGGTCAGTGTAATTGTTCAAACCACAGGGGAGGTAAGTGTAAATGTTAGAAACCTCAGGAGAGATTTCTGAAATTATCCCCAAATACTAACGAATAAAATAAATTAATAAAAACAATTAGATCTTACAGATATAATTGAATCAAATCCTTGTTGTTTTTTGACTAGAAAAGTAAATTAGCCGCGCATCAATAAGGAGGAACCGCACAAATTCATTGAAGAGATTTGCATCAATGCCTAACAATGAAGAAATCAAAAAGAACAAAAAGAACTAAGAAGCTGTTGTCTTTCTTGCGCCAAGAATCCCCGATTCTTCCAAATTGTTTTTGCCTAAGTACTAGTCAAGCGGGCCATCCAATTTTCTCCTATTTGCCTCCTTTGTTACCTACTTTATATCAACTACTAACACTAAAACATGATTCCTAAATAAAAAAAGAAACTACAAAAGATAATATTCCAAGTTTCCTAATCCAATACTATAACTAATAACAATAATTAGAGTCTTCGAAATCTTCTGCCAGCGGCTTCCTTCGTTCGATTTGGACTTGGAAAAAGGCTCCGAATGTGCCACCATCAAATCAATTTTTAACATGCTGAAAAATTGCTTCTTTTAATCATGTTTTGCATATTTTTCTACAATTAGCATCATTTATCAAATATAAGTAGAATCCAACAATTAAAACAATATTTAACTAAAATAAAAGGGGCAATAATCATAAATTGAATCAAAATTTTGAACCCTATCAATGTAGACTTCCTATTATCAAAATCACTTGTCATATATGCTTCGGTGCATGTGTCTAGCATGATCTTACTATTGTCGAAATACAAACACAACTTAAAAATTCCCTTAAGATATCTAAAATTTTACGTGACAGCATTCCAATGCTCTCTACAACATCAATACTAAAAGAGACCTTTATACAAACAGATCTAAAGCAACAATAATCTATTAAGTATAAACACAATTAGCAGCTTGCAGAAATGGCTTATAGGGAGTTTTGAATGACGTATTGAGATCATGAACTGAAGCTTCAACAGTATAACCGCGGTCTAGAAGCAGCTTGACTAGCCATCAATCTATGTATCCCGAAGCTCCCGTCACACACGCCACTTTCCCACCAGTCATCTTCCTTAGACCCCTTCCGGTAGTTAGACAATACATCAAACATGTAACAAATACAAATACATCCAAGAATCAATAATTACAATAGATACAACAGATGGTACGAACATTGAATAATTTTTTTAATTATACAACTCTATGAACTATAATGTATAATCTTTATGATTCTTTTAGGAACACAAATTCTTACAAATTTAAACCGTTCTTTATTTAAAAAGTAATAAAATTCTTCTCCTTGAAACTTTCAACGGTGTCCTTCAGGCTCACTTCCAATGGAATGAGATTGATTCCCAAACCTTTTGTTTTCTCCATTGACACTTCGAATTCTCCCATACCGAAGGTGCTATTAGGAGAACCTCTACAATAAAGCCAGCACAATTTCAAGAATGTGAAAGCTTGAGCTACGACAGAAAAAGGGCTGATTACCAATTAAAATCTTCAAGCCAGTTGTAAGGGGAAATGCTATGCATCTTCAAATTCAAAATTACCCTCCACTGGAAGGCCTATTAATCTAATGCACAAAAGCATTAGTTCCTAGTCTTGTTCTTCACGTAGATAACAAAATTCCATTAGAAGTTTGCCTATCAGAACTTGTCCTCTCTATTTTAATGATCCAAATGACATGAATTTTAGTGGTAACCTGAAATACAAAAACATGAACCCCGCATTCTTGACATAAAATTTTCTCTTAAATTTCTTGACTTATTGCTTTTGAGAATGTAATGGTACCAGTGTGTTCATATGCTTGCTGGCTTCTAAATGCATTCTAAATTTTAAAGGCCTCATCTACGTTTGCAAAAAAGTTAACCTCTACGCAAGTACATCTTAAATAAAGAGTAACATTTACCACTGTGGTCATATGCAATTGCAGGGACTGATTCAAAATATATATTTCCGACATTAGCAAATTATATACAACCTGAAATCGGAGTACTGAAAAGAAGAAAAAGAAAAAGTGTTGCCCAGTCAGCTTATGTTCAATAGACCATTAAGTCAAATTTCAATTCTTCATGAATGAAAATATTTGTAAAATCTGCAACGTTAGGTATATAATCTGCAGAAGCACTGGAGAACCTTGTAGAAAGAAAACAATTCTACAAAGAAATCTGAGGAAGTGATTCTTTTCTCGAACCAGATGCTGAATGGACGCAAGTCTTGTCATTATAATTGAGAAGGGAAAATGAGACTCACTTAGTTGGAAGTTGAAGGGTAGGGAAAAGTTGCCTCAGAATCTTGACGATCTCGGACCAGTGCACATTTTTCCCAACAACACAATATCTTCCATTAGCAGAAGGGATTTCAAAGGCATGAATATGTGCACAGGCAACATCTCTAACATCAATCCATCCAACACATGCATCAGGAAATGATTGAGCCCCTGCATTCCACACTTTCCGTTAGTAATATCTTTGATCATAATCACTAATATCTTTGATTGTACCATGTATAATAATGTTTCTATGTAAAAGAATGCATATTACTTTTAGCCCTTAGAGGTTTACTGTTTGTTAAACAAGAAGAGATGACAACTGTTAAGAACAGAAGCAGATCCTGATTTTTGGAAGAAATTGTGTGGTCTGCGCTGAAGGCTGCATAGAGTTGGTTTTGATTACTAATTTATGGGCAAGGCCTACAGGATAGGGGGAGTACTGTTATAAAGGACTTGAAAAACACTTGGGATAAAGGATGCATGATATAGCTTGGGGTAAGTACAGTTAACAACCCTTATTAATTATCATCAGTATGACCGTTAACAACTTGATAGCATTGAATTGATATCTTGAGCTATTGAGCTAGAAAAGCTTGAAGCTCTACATATGAAAAAGATTCATAGGGTACACGAGGTTGAATTAGATAACAATGTAACCAATGATTTGAGGAGCCTATGCCATCATTTTACTCATTGACACTTAAAAGGCTTACTTGTAAAGGATGAACTTTTGTCGTTTGAGAAAGCTACAAGCTAGACAGATCAATACAGAGGCACAACATCAATTAGCTATTCGATAGAGTACCATTTACTACATCCAGGACCAATCCTGCACTTAGATTGATAGAAGGCTGCAGAATGGGACCAAAGACCCATCCTGGATTGATTGAAACCATGTCAATGCCATGCTCCTTTGAGAATTTCCAAGCAGCATCCTCTGCTAAAGTTTTTGACAGTTGATACCACATCTGACAAACAAAATACAAAAACAAAAGTTGGTCTAAGTTCTATCAAGAAAGAAGTTTTACAAGTTATTAAGAAACACAGAATATTCTACAAACTTTTGCTTACCCTACTTAATCAATTAAAACAAACGTACTTCACATCCTCCCCTAACAGAGTAAAATTTTTTCAGTATTTAGAGATCTGTAATTTCTTGTGTGTTAAATCTGCGACTAATTAGAGAAGTTTTATTTCTTTATGCTTAACAAATGATACAGTGCGTAAGACTAACAAGATTCCTGCAGACTCTTCATGTTTCGATCTCTTGATCAGTCAGTAAGAAATGCAAGTCCAGCTAAAATTTTACATTTCACCCTTGGCAGCATATCTCTCATAACTAGTCAGCGGAAAATTCAGTCTCCTTATCTGAGTTTTATAGTTTAATCCTACAACCATCCTAGCTACTCAGCGTCCGTATGCAACTATATCTTTTGAAACAAAGACTTAAATTTCTAATGCTGTAATACTTATACTCTGAAATTCTTGAGAGCAGTTACTAAATGCATATATCGATGAGTGCGTCATGTAGCTTTGGAGAGTGTAATGGAGCAAAGCCTTCATAACTTACAGATTGTTTTCAAATTTACCTAATTCTTACTCATTGTGCCGATTCACTTGTTCATTTTGTATCTTGCAAGCTACTATTCATTGTAAATTGTTCAACCATCTTTGGAGCTGTCAATTATAATCCAGAAAGGAACAATAACAACAAGAGAGTGCTTTTATTGCTTTCTCCTGTACATCTGAAATTTTTACCTTTATTTTGCAAAGAGTCAGAATAAACAGTTTTTCCTGGGATCTGTCATGAGGATTTTCTTCCTACCTCTTAGCTTGATTTGGTGCAAGTCAGCACCTTGCTACTTTTAGATGGTGTTCAAGACTATCTTACATGTTCTAGCAGGAAACATGCCACATTGGTGATGCCTGTTAAGAGAACAATGTAGCATTGGCACTTGCTTTCTGTGATAGATTGTGATATTCGTCATCATTCCATCCTTATCCAATCGACTTTTTATTAAAGCGTATTCACAAATAAAACAATAACAGAGCGCAATTAACCATTAGTTTTGTCTAGTTAATGAGATCACAAGACTTGTTACTTCTGTTGACACCAACCAGGCATTTTTCCTTGAAACTAAATTACTGAATTAGTAGTAGCAGGATATTGCACCTTTTGCTCCTCACAGTATGATGGGTTAGAAAACCAACTTTCGTCAACAAATGAATCTTTATTTAGCTCTGGTTTTGCCAGAACTGCAGCCGTAGAAGATGTCAGGATCACTCTTCTGATAGATGAAACTTTTGCACATGATTGAAGCAGGTTCAGTGTTCCCTTTACTGCAGGGTCTATTAATTCTTTCTGAGAAGCAAACAGGAAAATATGAATATGCCACATATAAGTAAAAAAACTCCATTATGCTACTTGCGCGAGATAGTATTCAAAACAATGTCTCCGAGTATTACTGCATAAATTCAGTGGCTGTATCAACCACAAGGCTTTGAAGCATATTTCTGTTGAGTTGTATTAAACAGTTCCTAAAACAGTAGAATGAGCTAAAACCAGATTCAGCAGAAAATCTCCCATACTTGGTGATTAGAAATGGGACCATGGCCTGATAACAGAAGCAATTTGTCCGAGGTCTGAAGAGGACAACATCCTTGGTTCAAGTTCGGTTATGTCAATAATTAGTGCAACAAATACGTCGATCGTAATTCTAGCACCACAGTGGGTTGTTTTGACTGTAGGACTGCACTCTATATTACCCTATTGCTATTCGAAGGATAGTCATTGACCAGTATAATCTGCGAATATATGCAAGATTCAAGCAACTTGAAGCTAAAGAGACACCCTGAAAATGGTACTTCATCCCACTTATTGACTCTTTTTCTGTAAGGAAGTTTTTTGAAACTTGCTGTGTTACATTATTTACAGTCTCAATGTGAACTTCCTGAATGACCTCACTTAAATGGGGTCAGATGCCTTGAGTGCCTTAAGCCCCCACTCTCTCCGCCACTTGTAGTTATCGTCGTTACCTAAAAAATCTTCAATACAGTCATGAAGTAAATGTACCTTCGGATCGCTAACCGAAAAAATAACAGGAGAAGCGGTATGAAAAACGCCAGTACATCCTTGAACTATTTCGTCAAAGGATCCATCATCAAGTAAGTTCGCCTGAAACAACTTCAGTCTCTCCTTGGCTCCATCAAGTGACGTCAAATGTTCCGTCTTTCTTGGATCATCTGTGCCATATAACGGAACAGTCTAGTACATCAGTCTAAAGGTACTGAATTTGCAAGTGCATTGCCTTGGTAAAGTGTATTATCCTAGAAGACTGATGATAAAATCATCATCCAGGAATAGAGGATGCTGCGCCATGAAATTAAATGTGCCAAAATCGGCCTGTTGGGAAATGTAATTGGCAATGTTTTTGGTTTCACTTTGGTACTGAAGTAAGAATACATCTTTCGTCTTTGGCCTGAAATCCATTGCTGATTTTCCAAAACGTAAAGGACTAGGGCAAATTGTGAAAACCATTAGTTATCAACTTATCATAAGGCTTAATTAAAGTTTACCCGCTTTAATTAGGGGGCAGCTGTGCTTCATCACCCAATATTCATTTTATCTTCACTTTGCAACCCCAGAGTTTAACAATTAAAAGTAACAAAGATGGCTTTAATACCATAATTGCCTTTGGCGTTTGACTGCTATTTCATTTCCTGAGATTGTATTTCCATGTTTGGCAAAATTGCACTTTTCATCCCTAATATTTAAGGTGTTAACCAATTTCATCCCTAAAGTTTCATGCAAAACACATTTCATCCTTGTAATTTTATAATTTTGATTAATTTCATCCTTCAAGTTTTACGCAAACACATTTCATCCTCATAATTTCCTAAATTTGGCTAATTGAGGACAATTGGTAGATTGTCAAGCAATTTGAATGGGATAGCGTCACTTGATCACAATATGCCCATTAGTAAAAAAAAAAAATGGATTAACTAAAAGCTCAAAAATCTTTTCTTAATTGACTTTCTCATTTTAGTACAAAAAAGACTAAGAAATTTTTAGCCACTATTACTTTCTTCTTAATCACAATCGAACAAGAAGATCCAAAGAAAATGAAGTCAGTGGGAAAGAAACAATTCCACTATAGCCAATTGAAGAAAAATGTCAAACATACCCATTACAACTAATTGGAGAAAAATATTAATGCAAAAGAATGAATGGTTTAGATTGTCATTTATTTGCAAAATTTTGTTTTGTTGCATCATATACATGTTTTTCAATCATCTATTTTATCTTTCAATCTATTTATTTAGTCTCAAATATATCATATCACAATTTAAAGGGAAAAAAAAAAGAGATAGTCTCCTATCTAAAAACACTTGTTGTTATTTCTATAATTTAATAAATAATTGAATTAAGTATTAATAATACAATTATTAATGGGACATGTGATGATATTATGTCTAAATTGGTTAACAAGTCTTTAATTGGTAGGAATTATAAAATTATAAGGATGAAATGTGTCCCACATAAACTTTAGGGACAAAATTGATCAAAATTACAAAATTATGAGGATGAAATGTGTTTTGTATGAAACTTTAGGGACGAAATTAGTGAACACCTTAAATATTGGGGATGAAAAGTGCATTTTTCCCCCTCTGAAATAAGAGGGATGAGTCAATTTCTAACTGTGCAAAAACCGGAGACACCCGATGTCAACCCTAAAGGGCATAATATATCCATATAGATTATGTGCTTTTGGGTGTATATTTCAAAAAAAACCTTTACTACAGTAGCTCATGTGAAAAACTTTTACAATAAATAATTTGTTTAAATTTGATATTTTTTTAAAATATATTTTGAGATATTTTTATAATTTAAAAAAAAATTTAAATATTTTTTTTATAAATTTGATTAAAATATCACTATCCCCTCCTTGCTTCTCCACCGTCATCGCCACCGCCCCTTGCCCACCTCCTCTCTCCTCTCCTCCCTCCTCCCTCCTCCCTCGTGATTAAGAGGAGAAGAAGCGGGGGAGGGGAAGGGAGGGAAGGGCAAGGATGGAGGGAGGAGGAGGAGGAGAAGGAGGGGACGTAGTTGGTGATGGGTGATAGATGGAAGGAGAAAAGATAGTAAATCTTGTTATTGTTCTTTTTATTTATTTTTTTTTGGTAAATTATACTATTTGAGAGATTTTGGAGTTATTTTTAAAATTTATTACTATAATTTCCGCAAACAAAAAGAGCTTGTGAGAAAAACACTCAACCCAAATCAAAGCCTAGATAAAACGAATACAGGATGAAAAAGTGAAATTGACCCTTAATACAGGGGGTAAATTGTGACTAAACCTCATCACACAGACCAATACACACGCATTTACAAAAAGAGACAAAGATAGTCGAGGTCCTCGAGGAGTAAAAACTAAAAGGTCACTTACTGGCATCTCGAACAGAAGCTTTAACTGTATAACCCCGGCCAAGTAGCTGCTTGACCAGCCATGAAGCTATGTAACCCGAAGCTCCAGTCACACACACCACTTTATCCTCTCCTGGTCCACTCATTCTTCTCCAAGCTCTTTTTGTGAGGGAATTTGTTACCTGTCAGCCTTGCATCCAAGGCTCACCTCACGGGGCCATTAGTAGCAGAATGGATATGAGAGTATCCATCCATCTGGCAAACTCAGAAAGAGATCAGAGCTTTAAATGAGACTGAAAGTGACGAAAATATCAACTGGTATTTTTGCAATTTGCATAGCTCATGGATGGCGTTTAGTTTAACCATTGGGCCCTTGGTGTTGCCCATACATGGTCAATAGTCATGTGCACGTATGGTTAGAACAGTTCCACTTTTAGTGTGGTAAAGTGGTTTGCACTATAAAAATGGTACTATTAGATTGACATGAAATAGTAGTGTGTCATCTGTGCTCCTTTTCTTTAACTAATACAGGGAAATTAGATAGTATTAAACTGAGCTTGCATGCTCTTAACATTTGGTTAGATGAAAAATAGGTTAATCCCAATTTTAGATGCTAATGCATCATGAACTATCATGGGACAGTTGTCTCTTTTGTTTGGATCCTTGTCTAGATACTGTAAAGCTTTTGCAATGATATATAAATCTAACGTTTCGACCCAAAAAAAAAATTGTGGGGATAAGGGGCGGAATGGTTATCAGGAACAATGGATGATTTTGTGTAAAATCTACATGGCGTAGTTCTGTCTGCATACGGCGTCACTCACTTTCAACAAAATTTTATGGATCCCACACATGATGTGACAAATAAGGTACAAGATGAAATCTGAATCTTTTTTTTTTTTTTGACCAAATCTTGATTGTAAACTTTCAGGCAAGAAGCAACCGTTCCTGTTCCTCTCCCAATTGTGGAGGAGCGGCCGGAGAAGCAATCCTTCCTAAAGGTTCAAGACCAAGATTTGGTCAAAAAAATGTAAGGTTCAGATTATATGTATCTTGTACGTTACTTTTCACATCGTGTGTGGGGTTTACAAAATTTTGTTTTATAATTATACGTTATTAAAAATGAGTTACACTGTATGCAATGCAAATTATATCTTATGTAAAATGTATAAAATCGGCCCGAACGATTTTTCTGACAACCATTCAGGCCGTGTCCGTTAATTGTGGCATCTGAAGTTCGAAAATGTAAAGAAGAGCAAAAAAAGAAGACAACAACTGGAAACCGGCTTTCTTTTTATTCTACCCAGTTCGTAACGCGACACGAATGCTTGGAATAATAAGGGGAATACCGGGCTGGGACCAAGCAATGGTGCAACGAAGGTTTTACTTTAGGGGAGAATAGTGCACAAACATATTATAAGTTAATACTCATCACAAATTTTTAAGTTATAAGCTTAGAATAAGAATAACTATTTAAATATTTAGTAACTGGGATTTATGATATAACAAAAGAAATTCTAAAGTAAAATAAAATTGCCTTTAAAAAGTAGAGCTTAGCAAAAGAGTCAATCCTTGAAATAGATTTAATGGAGTTGACAAAGATCAATGCTTGATCACATAGACAAAAGTTGAAAATTTTAGTGTTTTTTTTTATTAATACTTCTATTTTTTTCCTTTTTTAGTTCAAGTTGATTTAGCATTAATAATTTGTACCTGTGGTTAAATCTTCCTTTTCTTGTGTTTGATTTCTTCTATTTATCTTGTCTTTTTTTCGTTTTATTTTGCATGTTAATATAGTGTTTCTTAAGTTACTATCTTAAGGTTATAATAATTATATCTAATATATGAATGATTTGGATAGCGGGTGCCTAATAAGGAGGCCGCAAATGTGATTTTTCTTTTTAAGTGTGGTTAATTTGTAAGTGTCTAAATGCAAGGGGCAATGATTGTGTATAATCATATGGTAAGTTAATTTAATTATATTGATCCTTTTTTGAAAAAAGAAAAAAATTAAGTAAGTGCAATTTAAGTTGTTAACTAATACTCACTGGGCATCTCCTAGAAAAATCCATAAAGGACATAGTATTTACTTAGTTATTATTTAAAGGTTATACTAACCACTAATGGTATAAAAATATCAAAATGAAAACTGATATATATGCTAATATAAGGAAACTAAGATTTGAATTGCTATATGTAGGATATTTTTTACAAATAAAATTAAAGGAGATTCTTTAGTTAGTATTTAAAAGTAGTATATAAACACAAATACTAATTATATACTAAGATTACTTTGATAATATATTTGTATTGTATGCTAATATAAGAAAATTAAGAGTTGGTTTTAAAGAGTGACATTTAAGTAGATTCTTTAGCGCAAGTGATAAAAGTCAATTGAGAAATTAGGACTTCATGTACAAGTTTAAAAAATTTTTGGAAGCTGACATACATTTTTCAAGAAGCTTGGGGCTACTGCCCATGACCGAGTAACATTTTTGTGGGGGATGGCGGCCCAATCCACAATAGTGAAACACTCAATGAGAGCAATAGAAGAAGATATTTAAATGGGCGAATATATATATATATATATATATATACACAGGTGGAAGGTATGAAGTTTTAATTTTGGATGCATCACCTAATGCATATATCATTTTTCTCTTTAATATATAGAGTAAATATTATATGCAGTAACAGTGTGTATACTATCACGGTTAGATGCACGACAAATATGCAAAATTTGGGTTTTAAATTCAAATTCGAACTACGTTTTATGCATCTAATGATGAAAGTATATACGATATCAGTATATAGAAAATTAATCATAATATATATACCATTTTCGCTCTTTAAATGCCATGTCTTAATAATTCAATTTAATATTTGAGTTTTACCTATTTATGTATTCCAACAACCTTTACGTAATTGGGGTTCTTATTCATGAAAAATTCTATAGTTCTCTTGGGAATCATTCTCACACTTTTTATCCCTCACTAATAATAGTTGTTTAAATTTTAAATGATTGAGACTATTAGAATTAAAGGATTCAAAACACTTATTTCACCATTCAATAGTGAATTTAACTTGAGAGTATGATATTGAAAAGGGATTGTTGATTCTCTTCTTGTCAATTATAAGGTAAATTCTGTAGTGTATTCACATATTTCAAAGACAGGTGTGGAAAGTAAATTATATGGCAAAGAAGCTGGCACGTAGCAACCTGACATGTACGGAGATGAAGGGAATGTTTCTAAAAAAGTAAGTGATGACCTATAACCCCGGTTTAGAAATGTGAATGTAGCGTACTGCAGAAGTTGGAAATGTATTGGGGTGTGACGGAATTAACATAAATATAATGGACCTACGAATAAAACACCGAAAAGGAAGCATAAGCAGTACTATCTATTTACGAGCATTACATCAACAAAATACTATCTATTTATGGACATTTTACTCTGAATCATTACATTTATGTAAAATACATAAATATGTATAACTAAAATTGAAGAACTGTTACACTAATATTTTTACGAAAGGAAAATTGGTTGTCCTGTATTTAACATAAACTGATTTTTATGAAAGTAAAAAATATATTGCCCATAACATACCTATTCTTTATGAATTTTTTTTTTTGCATTACATCAACAAAACACTAGTTATTTACGGGTATTTTATTCTGAATCATTACATTTATGTAAAATACATAAATATTTATAACTAAAATTGAAAAAGTGTTACACTAATATTTTTACGAAAGGGAAACTAGTAAATTTTGTATTTAATAAATTTTAAATATGTGAAAGTAAAAAAGTTTTGCCCATAACATACCAATTCTTTATGAGTTTTTTGCATTACATCAACAAAATACTAACTATTTATGGGTATTTTATTCTGAATCATTGCATTTATGTAAAATACATAAATATTTGTAAATAAAATTTAAAAAGTATTATACTTATATTTTTACGAAAGGAAAATTGGTTGTCCTGTATTTAACATAAACTGATTTTTATGAAAGTAAAAAATATATTGCCCATAACATACCTATTCTTTATGAATTTTTTTTTTTTTTGCATTACATCAACAAAACACTAGCTATTTACGGGTATTTTATTCTGAATCATTACATTTATGTAAAATACATAAATATTTATAACTAAAATTGAAAAAGTATTACACTAATATTTTTACGAAAGGGAAACTAGTAAATTTTGTATTTAATAAATTTTAAATATGTGAAAGTAAAAAAGTTTTGCCCATAACATACCAACTCTTTATGAGTTTTTTGCATTACATCAACAAAATACTAACTATTTATGGGTATTTTATTCTGAATCATTGCATTTATGTAAAATACATAAATATTTGTAAATAAAATTAAAAAAGTATTATACTTATATTTTTACGAAAGGAAAACTAGTAGATTTTGCATTTAACAAATTTTAAATATGTGGAAGTAAAAAAGATTGCTCCCATAACATACCAACTCTTTATGAATTTTTTTGCATTACATCAAACAAATACTAGCTATTTATGGGCATTTTACTCTGAATCACTACATTTATGTAAAAAATATAAATGTTTGTAATTAAAATTGAAAAAGTGATACACTTATATTTTTACAAAAGAGAAATTGGTAAAATTTGTATTTAACATAAATTAAATATATTAAAGCAATATTAAAGGTGATTTTATTAGTTACTTAATTTGTTGGTAAGAAACAAGGCTTCTTTTGCAAAATTTGTTCATTAGATTTTTCCAAATAATTAGGATATAAAGGTAAATTTTCACAATCTTTTTGTTAGCAATAGACCCCAATTTCCTCCTAGGCAGTGACGAAGCCAAGATTTTTTCCTTGGAGGGAGGGCCAAAATGATTGACAAATAAAATTATTTTAATATGTTATGTTCAAAATAAATTTCATCTATTTAAATATATGGCATCCTAAAATATCAAATATTAACTTTAATTATAAAGGTATGTCTATTTAATAAATATGTAGTATAGTCATAACTAAAATTAAGACAAGAAATAACACTTGATTAAATATCTTATAGAAAAAAATGCACTTTTCATCCTCAAAGTTTGGGTGGTTGGCCAATTTTATCCTCAAAGTTTCACCCCCAAACATATTGCATCCTCAAAGTTTCGTAATTTTGGCCAATTAAGGACAATTGACGAGAAATGAAAAATTGATCGTTAGAACCAACGATTTTACCCAATAAAAAATGGGCAAAACTAAATGGAGCCATTTTTAAAGGAATAATTGCAACGGACAA